AGTTTCTTCGTATTCTTTACACAGTCGACATTTACTTCCGATCTCTTCTTTCAATATTTTTCTCTTAAAATAGTTTGTACTGATTGCTTGGTCCTGAGCTGCTACGGTTAAGCTTTCTGTTTCCCCTTTAATGCCTCCAAATTTCAACCATCGATAGGTCTGTTCCTTATCCACCAGAGTGTCATCTAGGCTGCGTGGGTATTGTCCGTGCATTCTTTTCTTTTGTGTTCTGAGCTATTGCCTTTTTTTGTAAAAATTTCGTGTACTTGCAGGCTGTGTTCGGCGAAGAACTTGTGTTGCGTTGGTGTGTCCTAACAATTTTCATCAGTTGATCTTCTGTTCCTTCTATTATTATTATTATTATTATTATTATTATTATTATTAGAGGCGAGATAGCGTAGTCAGTATAGCGACTGGCTACGGGCTGGACGACCGAGAGGTCGGAGTTCGAGTCCTTTTGGGGTTAAGTATTTTTCTTATCAACGACGTCCAGACCGGCTCTGGGGCCCACCCAGCCTCCTTTCCAATAGGTACCGGGGGCTCTTTCCCCGGGGTAAAGCGACAGGAGCGTGAAGCTAACAAAACACCTCCAGTTAGTGCCGAGGTCAAGAAAATGTGGATCTATACATTCACTCACCCATACGCCTTCATGGTGTAGTGTTTAATTAGTTAAGTACAGGAACAAATTTAAATTCTTACATTATTATTATTCTGACCTCAATGGATATTTAGTATTTGATGGAAATACCGTATATTTATTATAGGCCCTGTGAAGAAAATAAAGATTTTTTGTAAGAAATCTAGTCAGAAATTTGGAGCAAGGGTGATTATTATTTTGTTTTGTTTCCTAATTATCTCTTTCGTTTTGTTCTTGTTTGTTTCAGTCCTTTATTTCCTTATCCTACAATACACATGCCCATGATTTCTGACCTTTGCTATGAATAAACGTCCCTTTCTATGTTCAGGACAACATAAATTTATTTTAATGATTATCATATCTAATTCTTGTTTTGAAATTCGGCAATTCGTCACTTCGCCTACAGAATGCATTTATATTTTAGTTTGTTTTTGACAACTAACAGCGATGGTTTCCCTAAT